GGATTTCTGCTTAAAATGAAGTACAGCTACAAAGGTGTTGCATAATATTTTTCAAGTATATAGGTAAATCCCCTGAAAATATTTTTCAAATTTTCTGGTTTTCAGAATTTTGGTGACAATGTAAATAGAATTTCTCAATGATTCTGACTTGGTTTACCCATTGACAAAATGTATGATAAAAAAACACCTCACAAGACAAAGAAGATGCAGAATTAAATTATATATCAGACGTTTGAGTGAAGGGCACTTTGAAAATAAAAAATAGTTTTACTTTAGAAACAAATCACTTTAACTGTGTTACCAAAATAAAACAAACATGTCAGTCTACTTACCTGTCTTTAGATCTTTCTTTGCCCAAAGGCAAGGACTTGTCTTCCAAAAATCCTTTTTGCGTCAATGTTTCTAAGTTTATATTGTAGAAAAAAAAAATGTAGAAGGGAAGCACACATTCCCCTTAAGATAACACATTAAGTTTATGTGAAAAACAGGCTAAATTTCATCCAGCAAGCACACTCCTGGTGATGACTGTACCTGCATTGGTGCACATATTTTAACTGTAGTCCTCATGACAAGCCTGCTTTAATCAACTCCTGAAAGAGAGAAAAAAACTCTTTGCCATGCAACTAGATAAAATTGAATGAACCACATCCTTAAGATGAGAAACATCCCCATAAGGTCTTTTATTTAATGGATGGAGAGTGGAAGTTGGGGAGAAATAAAGGCGAAGTTATTTTTCCAATGTAGTGTTATAATTCACATACTTCTTAATTGTTACAATCGATAAATAATGCAGCTCTTCAAATTGTACACAATTTGGATGTGCAGGCATTTTATCAGCCGTCAGCTAAATGTTCTGTCATCATAACTCTCGTCTGTCTATTCACTTTCTGAGTGAGAATTTCCTTTTGAGATTATACTCTGTTGGTTTTTAAACTACATTTTCATGTTGGTTCCCATGTTTTTACATTTAGTGTGGTTCTTTTTATTTTGTAACTGAAGGCAAAACCTGCAAGGATGGCTGAGAAGGAGCAGGTGGGAGGACAAATTGAAAGTTAACAGGGGCTCCCAAGTGAAAACAGGTACAACCATCTGTAAAGGAGTCACTGGCATACTTTTTTTCTCTTACACTTCCTTGGATAACTAGCTTTGAAGGAGCAGAGATGCACAACAGTAGCAGTTGTAACACCACAGAACAGAATGAAATCAAATACCTTTGCTGGGAATGCTGAGAAGAAATACGGCTTCTCTCTAACCATCACAAGGACATGAAGCGGGGTGAATCTCTCACTGCCATTAGCAACTGGGCTTGGAGGAGAAAGAGTGGAAACTAAGTGGTATTGCATCTGTATCACTAAACTGATTTAGTATATCATGACAACAACTGATAATGCTGATGCACCATTAGCTAGTGACAGAAAGATACCACAATGCAATGGTTTTGTGGCTTTCTGTAGGCTTTCTGTAGTACTGTTTGAAGGCACAATCTATCTCCTGTTGCTAAAGTTTTAGTACTTCTCTGTTTTGAACAAGAAGACATCACTCTACTAATCAATAAACTTTACACACTTTATCCAGACCCTGATTATTATTTTTTTTTTTTTATGGTACCTAAATATGTCCAGGCTCAGGGCAGAAGAGAAAATCTGAAACTGCTTATACAGAATCCCAAAATGAAAGAAAAAAGGAAACAAACCAACTCCTATCTTTCCAGTCAGGAGACTCCCATTCTTATGTGACTATAACTTGAGGAGGCAGTTCAGCTACACTGAGCATGATAGACTAAAGTCATCTCAGGTGCCAAGAGCTGTACAGAGCAGAAAGCTCAAGCCATCTTATCTTGACAGAAAGCCAAGGCCAAACATTCATAATTTATTAATATTCTCTTTCCAGAGTCCAGAATGAAGACATTTTCACCCAAATCCATACTAAACAATGATGCTTATATTTTTTTATAATACTATTAATAAAATATTTGACTATTTATGGAACTAATAGATACTGAGCAAGTTAGAGCTAAAAATAAGTTCATGTACATGAATTGAAATGAAAAATATTAGCCTACAGGATATGTAGCAAATATATTCTGATAATATTTGCATGGGCTGATTAAAATCTGAGGACATGACATTTGCCTAGCAGCTAATGAGAAACTAATTGTTCTTTGTTTGTCGTATGTTACATAAATAACATTGACCTAAAAACACAGACTGTGAGAGCATAAAATATGCTGAAACAGTGAAGACAGATATCCAAACAGGAGGTGCAGTTGTATTGGAAGAATTTTGGCTTTGGAAAGTCAATCAGACATTGTAATGACTCAAGAGCTGAAAACTTATATCCACACTTCACTCAGATCCATCTACCTGCAAACAAGCATAAAACCCACCAGAAGACTAGACAAGCAAAAGCAACCTTCAGTAAGAAGAACAAAAAGCTCTCACTCAGAAAGTTAAGTGATCCATGGTAATCAACATGGTGATATGTTGTCTGATCAAGTTTTACTCTCAAATACATTTCTCATTACATATGTAGGCCAACCTAAGGCAAATCTTTACCAACTACTCTAATGTTCTGCATTAATCACCTCTGTGGTTTTTTGTTTTTGTTTTTTTTTTTCTCATTCCTTACATTTTTGGAAGTACATAAATATCAAAAGTGTGAAGAACTCTTTTTTTCAAAGATATGATCATCTTGATCTCCATGAATTCCAGACAGTATTGAGGAAATTAATGAATTTGCCAAATGTCTTCAGTACTTTGTAACTGGGTAAACATAGAAAGTGGGATAGAAATACATAGAAGAATTTAAGAATGGACAAAAGAAGCTATATTCAATTCTACACACAGTGCAAGGTTTAGTAATCTTTCCCTTGACTTCAATTGTTCAAGGATTAACAACCTTATGAAATAGGCAAAGAAGGACACGGCCTCAAAGTATCAGTTGTGCTTGCAAGTACTACTGCACTCTTGCCTAGGCAGTCTTTTAGAGCAAATACTTTCTAAATAAGAAAACCAAGACGCAAGTAGTGCTCAACTGAAACTCATTTTTTTCTTACTCTTACAATTTCTTCCATCATGAACTACTTTCTCCTTTCCCACATCTCTGTGCAAACACTTAACACAACTTTGTAACTACCAAATGGCTTTGCTTCTTCTAATATTTAATGTCAAGCTACCACCCCTTGTCATTGTGTACTGCATCTCAAAATGAGCCTTGATGCAGGAGCAGAGAGACATTTCTGTGTGACCTATGGGCAGAATGAGCCTTTCTCTAAACTTCAGTTTTGACCTCTTCATTCCACAGATCCAGGTTCCTGTAAACGTCAGCATAATGACATACTGGGAAAACATCAAACTCAACTCTTATCTCCCAGATTCTCTGGCAAAATTTGGGTCCAAAACCCAGGTTCTTAGACAAGGTTGTCATACAGTCATATACAGTTGTATATATTTTTAAGAATGAAAATAATACTATTTTTTCATGTATTTATTCTGCATATATCGGTTTTGGAAATAAAATACTTGAGGTTTGGTTTTTTTTTTTTTTGTTTGTTTTGTTTTGTTTTGTTTTGTTTTTGTATTCTGCTCTCCATCTTAGGCATAGAGAAAGGCAGCTAATATATACAGACTGTCCTTTAATACCCTTTGGTAGATACTATCATCTCAGCAATGTTAATTTTTTTGTGGTGCTTATCATAGGTCAGAAAACAATAAAAGAGAACATGAGCTAGGGTAAATAAAGGATTTTCAAGACTTTCATCTCCTTTTGATTTGATTCATCCAAACCCAACGATGAAGCAAAGGAATGAAGTGCTTCCCTGTGCTGGGACAGTGACTGGCTATTTAAAAGTACCTCAGGCCTTCAGTGGACAGGCCAGGGGCATTAAGGGAAGTGGCTGAATGAAGGAGGAGGAGGCAGTGGCATGAGTTGCTGAAGTGCAGGGAAGGCAGAGAGGGTGGCAGCCCAGTATTTTCCAGCCAAAGGTGCCTATGGCTACGGATATGCATACCACCATAGCATATGGGCTAACAGGCTGGTTGTTAACAAAGCGGGATGACACTCTCTGGGAAGGAAAGAAGGAACAGTGTGGGGTGTCAGAGCAGGATATTTTGCAAACATGACTGTTTAGGCATGGACGTGCATGTTGACCACAAATACACCACAAAGCATTTGACAACACGACCCCCCCTTCTCCACTACACGCACAAGCAGTATCTTCCAGGAGAAGTATTTTGGACAGATTCTCTGCTGGTGTTACACCTCCCCACCTCCAGCTGCAGGGGCTGAGGCAGAGGAACAGCTTTAGGCAAAGGCTAGGGTGCCAGGAAGGTGATTATATACATTTACCGGCTGTATAGTCCCGGTGAAAAGGAGTGCTGCTCGTGATGAAGTTGCACCAAATCTATTGCATGGGGGAAAACGAGGACAAGGCGGGAAATATCTCGAGAGGAGCTTTAAACTGCCGGAGATGCTCCGACACGAACAGCGAGCCCCGGATAGCCGGGGGCAGGGACTGGGGCTGCAGGGCAGGCTGACCCACAGCGGCGGGAGTGATTGGTGGGGACGGGGGGCCCTGACAGCACTAGGGGCTCCGCCACCAGCACCCCAGCTTTGAGGGGAAGTGCGGGGCAGTCCGCACGCCAGCGGGGTTTTCGCTTCCTGGGTTTTTTAGCTCTTAAGGCGTGCGGGCGTTCCCTGCAGTCTGCCCGGAGCATGAATCCCTCCCCTCTACCCACGCCCTTCCTGTTCTTTCCTTGCAAAGTGGTCTGGAGTGGCGGGGGGAGCTGGGTCTGGAGTTTTTGTCGGGGCTCTTTAGCTTGCACTCCTTTTGTGCCGTGGTGTCTACGTGTATTTTACAGTGCCAGCAATTCTCCGGCCCGCCTCCCACCTCCTCGTCTCTTTGGTCCTAACACAACTGTTTCGAAAAAGTATAAATACGTGTGGGTTTTGGGTTTTGTTGTTTGTGTTTTTTTTTTTTTGTTTTTTTTTTTTTTTCTCCTAAGCCCATGACAAAGCGCTATGAGGTCAGAACGGTAAGTGTATTTTTATTTTTTTTTATTTTATTTTTTTCTAATTCTTGTAATTTCTGCAACGGGGGTAACCAACAACAAAAAAAAAAAAAAAAAAGGCAGCCAGCACTGTCGGTGGGGGCAGGCGGGAGAATATCCTCGCACATAATGCAAACCTCCCGTCCACCCCAGGAACGAGCAGGGCAGCGCCTTGCGGCAGCCGAGGAACCGGGACGGGATGGGCCGCGGGGAGAGGAGGCGGCAGCGGGCGAGTTCCGCGAGTGCGGATGGTGGCTGGACAATGCCGACCCTGAAGCAGCGGGAGGGCTCCATCCCAGTCTTCCGCGGGCACGTCGGGAATCTCTCCGGCCTCCCCCACCCGCGGCTCGGCGGGGCGAGAGCCTCTGCGGGAGACCTTCGTTCACACCGGCCGCCTGTCCCCTGAGGAGCGGCGCCGCGGCGGGGTGGGCTTGAAAAGCATCACCTTTGCAACCTGAACCCTTTGCTTTGTTGTAAAGCAAAGAACTCCTGCTAGCTCCTTAGGAGCACTAGTTCACAAAAACAGCTGGGCAGTGTGATTTCCTGTTTTATTTTATTTATTTTATGTATTTCATTTATTTTTTTAATTTTCATATTGTATATTATATTTTTTCTTTTTATTTTCTATTTTCGGTTTTATTTATCATATTTGTTTGATTTTACTTACAGATACTTGTATCTGCTTGAGCCAGGTAAAGAAGAAATAAGGAAGTTTTCTCACTTCATGACTACCTAATATAACTTCTCCCATTGCAACATTTAGCAATAGGTTAGATTTTATGCCATATGGTAGACAGTAACAATTAACTTTCACTGACTTTTTGTGGGTATTAGAATAATTTATTCAGAAAGTAGCTATAAGTCAGTATTGTTTATCATTACTTACAGCAATACAGGTAATTGTTAGCACTGGTAAATTTAGTCATTGTTCTGATAACACTTTTAGGCTGTTGCCTGTTATTCAGAGTGACTCGAACTTATGTGTATTCTAAAATGCATAAATGGGGGGGAAATAAAATAAAAACCGAGGTCTGCAATGAGTGAGAAGAAGCTATTTATAATTCTAGCTGTAGGCACAGACAGTTTCCATGTTTTTTCCTAAGATAATTTCATCTTCAACAAACAAGTTACTGGGGTTTTGTTTGTTTGGGGCAGGGGTTAATATTGTCTGTCCAGAGGCAGTAATGTTTAGGTTAATATTTCCCACAAATTCAGGTAGATGAACATGCAGGTATTATAGCACTAGCTTGCCTCAAGCTGTCTTCTTTTCAAAAATACTGTTCTTCCACCAGTAAGGTCAGTAATGTGTGAAATATAAGTACATGACTATATTCAGTTTAGTATTTGTTAGGACAGTAACTTCAACAGTTTGACCTTACGCTGGCTGCAGTTAGCTGAACTATTCTAATAGACTGCAAGTAGTAAACTGTACACATATTTATGTAGCTTTTTTCTTTTCATGTCAGCCTGTTTCTCCAAGGAAACTGCATCTACCACATGTATTGATACTTTCTTTTCATAGCAACCACACGGAATGTAAGTAGTAAAAGTATTTATAATTTTGAAGTCTCTTTCACTAATGACTCACGTTCATTTTTATTATATTTTAAGCACTGTGCAGTTGGAAAGTGGTGAGCATCGAGAGCAGAAGATGCTGAATTTGTCAGGAAACTCCCATAACTAGAAGGAAGTCACTTTTCTTGCAGATATGCTACACAAACACCTTAACATCATGGGTAGATAGATTTACCTGCACCCATTATTCTGTTTTCTCATCACTTCTCAAACATACACCCTAAGCCTTTGTGGCAGCAATCACCCACCAGTTACACACCCCTTTCATGGTATCTTGTGCAGCACAGGAGTCCTGTTGCTTCCCCTCACCTGTATCTGATTGGGGGATATCTCAGATTATGCATTACTGACACTGGACATAAAAAAAAAAAAAAAAAAAAAAAAAGGTAAAATGCTAGGAATGCAGCAGATCAAATTTAGCTCAAACTGTTAATAAAAAACTTAGACAGCCAAAAAAAAAAAAAAAAAAAAAGAAAAAGAAAACAAGATTTTGGGGTGCAGAAAAGCTTTCTGTTCCTCTGTGAACAGAACAAGTTCATGCAAGCATATTGTGCATTCCAGATCCTGAAAAATACGTGAATGGACATTCTGATGGAAGTTTTACTGAAAATTAGAGCAGTGATTATGAGCAGAATATACACAGAGACTTCTGTGTGAAACTACAAGGTGCAGGGTGGGAAACCCATGTAAACAGCTCACAGTAGAAGAGTAGGAAATGAGTTTAAATTCTTTCTATCCATGTGGATTATCACACTTTTTTCTTCAAAGTCCAGCCTTCATGTGAAAAAATGAGAATTCAAATTGAAGGGCAACAGCAGAAGTACCAGAACTATATCAAATGGGAAAAATTTTCTTGAAAATATAAAGAAAAAGTGATTGTCTGAAGCTTCCAAGGCACCCTATTCTGCTTCTTCATGAGTTTCTAAATGATGCTTTGAAATTATTGCCTTATAAAAACACCTAAAAGCTGTGGAATTCCCTGTGAGTGGCTGGTATCAAGTGCCAAAAATGCATGGAAGGCATGGGGTATTCATTCTGTTAGGAGAACAATACCTAATTACAGCAATAGTTTTGTATTTTAGACACAATTATAACATCTTGATTTGTGGTACCTTTCAGGTTTATGTTTTGCAGACTTGCATGTAATCAAAACATGATTACTGGTTCAACTACTTACTGGTTCAACTACTAATTTTCAGTAATGATTCTCATTTTCAGAAAAGAGTTTGAAATTTTGGGAATCAAAGTTCTAAATGCCATTTTTACAGAACAAATTTGAAGTCATGGAAAACAAGATTGCAGTTGTTGCAGGGCTTCCATTTTCAAATAATGCAGATATCTGTTAGTCAGGAGTGTAAGAAACATGTAAGAAATAATCTCAGTTTAATTCAGAAAGTCACTGCAGCACCTTGCAAATTTTAAGCTTAGTTAATTTCACACTTAAGTCTTTAACCTTCTAAGATTTTACATGCACAAAAATAAAAAATTAAAAAAAAATCACACTGCTTTGTCTAGAAGCTATCTGGGTCTTTTGGGAGAATTATTAAAGCCAGTTAACTTCCTCAACTTTAATTTATGGTAATGCATGTAAGGAAAACTGTTGACCCAAATCCTGCAAATAATTCTGTATGACTGTAAAGTCAACAAAATTTTAGAAATGCTGTACAGAAATGCATATATTCTCGATAATCCCAACAATACTGCTAGTATCCTGAATCTGCTTCTATTCTGTATTTATAAAAGGGTATTTGCAGGTATACTTGCATAGATACACATGCCTCATACTCATTATAGAGAACTAAGCATTTGTAATTTTGCCTGGCCCTTGGAATTATATTTCTTACAATCATCACAGAAGTGCAAAACGTATTTAATTATACCCTTAAGGAGATGTTCTTTTAAGTCACTAAGTCTTTAAAAAACCTGTGCTTGAAACAGACTTTTGCTTTTTTTATGTACCGGGGGTATTGAGATCAGTGCTTCATATTTCAGACATTCACAGTCCTCTGGCACTAGAAGAAAATGTACGTAAGTTTCTTTGAAAAAGAATCTGTGCTGAAAACAAACCGTATATGCAGCAGACAGTGTCATTCATCAGAGTTGTGTTTTTCTTGGAAGTCGGCTTCACAAGTCGTGCTGCTTACCGTGGGTGGTGTTCAGTGATGTGGTGACCAAAATGTCAGGCTAGTCTACCTTAGCAGAAATAGATCTGTATTTGTTAGAAATGACAGGTAGAAAAATCAGAGTTAATATAACTGTATTACTCTACTGAGAGGACAGTAAGTAGTTTTTATTATGAGATGGATTGTTTCTGTGAAATGCACAAGGTATTGTTCCGTCCTTTGGTAGCACTGTGATGTTGGTCTCTATGCTTTCCTCAGGGTAATGAGGAGATGACTCCACCTGTTTACCTGATGCTTTTGTTCAGTCTGGGAGCTAAGACTTACTCCTCTTCCAGAAATGAAATATGTACAATTATCTATGGCCACAGAAGTGCAAAACTGGCACGTTTCTGAGAACTCTTCTTAAGTATAAAGCCTAAAAATACTTAACGTCATTGACAACATCAGGAGGTGTGGCCACATACAGCCTTAGCATAGGGACAAACCTGCAAATATTCCAATTTCAAACATAATTTTCGCTCCCAGTAGCACAATTTAATACGAATAAGGCTTCAATGACTATGTAAGTAACTATTCAGTGACTACTCCAATTTCAAACATTATTTTTTTCCTAATAACACAATTTAATGTGAATGAAGCATTAGTGACTATTTTTAGTATGTTGAATCTTAGTTTCTGAGGTCAGCATGGTCTGGTTACTCCCACTAGGCACAATTTCACACTTCCTTGTTCCTGTAGCTCTACTGACCATTCAGACAAACTGCAAAAGTGATGATTTATAAACAGAGTGACAGGGGTGAGCACTGAGGCCCAGGGAACACAGGGTACTTAGTTTTATCCAGTGTTTACCAGTCACTCGAGTTTTCAGTTCTTCCAAGATATATGAAGATTTTGATGCCTATTGAGTTCATTTTGTCTGACTGCTTATGAAATGTTCATTAAAGCAGGATGAGATACTAACTCCAGATGCTGTAGAACTTTTAATATATGTACTGAAATATAAAATGTAAATATATATAAATACATTAATAAATATATTAAAATTTTAAATAAGGAAACCTTGGCTGGAGGGAGAGGGAAGAAGGACACAAGAGCAAAAGAAGTTCTCTGACTAGTATCCCACCCACCTTCAGTTCTTTAAAAATGAGTGACCATTGCTTTCCACATGAAACTGAATGTGTTCTGATGGGTTTATACATCCCATGGTATACTGTGGTGTTCAAATCATGCAGAATATGAAACAGATGGCTTGGGAAGACTGTCAAAAAGACCTGCTGGGCCTTCTCT